TTAAAAGACTGTTTTTCTTATCATGAGAACATGCAAGACCTTGCAAAATCAGTAATACAGCAGAGGTGGCTGTGGGTGAAGATATATGTATAGTTTTGTATCCCAGCAGAAGGTTTCTAAGCTAAGTATTCAATAGAGGATTAAAAGGAAGAGTAAAATGAATAAGAACATAATTGATAACAAAGGTCACATAGATGGCAGGATGAGATATAAATTGAGAGCAGAATGGGGAATGGTTAGTTTGGGAAGGGAGGATTATTCCTCCAACATCAGGCAAGCAAAGAGAGGACCCAGTGAAAACTTGGCTATGTCCAAGTATGAGAGAGGGTGCCAAACTATGGTATATTTTAGAAGATTCTCAATCTCAGACCAGTACAAGCTGAAATTACATGAGAATGAAACTTTCAGGTCTGAGGTTTGAAGTTTAAGAACACAAAAGGATAAGATAAGAACATTATAAGGAAAGCACGCTTTGGAAATTTTATTTAGCCAAGAAAAAATATCCACATATTAAATTGACTGAAGTCTGAGTGCAATGCATTCCTTAACCCAAAATACATATTCTAACACTGTCATATTTAATAATGACTTTTATGGATTTTTTTTGTATCTATTTCCTAATCTAGTAGAGAAACTACCTAATTTCATGGAAGAGTCCTAAAATTACAATAAGACATGATTGTAAAGAGTGTTATTGTAAGAGAAGTGATTCCATCATTACCTACAACATAGTCAGGGATGTTTGGAAAATATTTTTAATTACAGACTGACTGGCAAGCCAGGTTTTCTCTCTCATGAGCAGTGGTTCTCAAACTGTAGTGTGCATCAGAATTACCTGGCGGGATCATTAAACACAGATGACTGGGTCTCATCCTTAGAATTTGGGGGTGGTGCCTGAAAATCTGTATTTCTAACAAGTTCTCAGTGATACTGATTTTGCTAGTCCAGGGACCACACTTTGAGAACCACTGCTGTAAAACATACATGGTTTATCATTTCAAATTGTATAGGTCTACAAACAAGAGTATTTTCATTTAACTTCTATTAAAGTAAATTGACAAATTAGAATTTGTGGATGTATTAAAACAGCACCATTGATAGTTTCAAAAAACCTATCTGTGAGTTAAATTCATTTCCAAATGTTATATAGAACATGCTATCTATCATCATTATCCTTCAAAAATGGCTCCATGTATTTAATCAAGAGGTCACAAGAGTTTGCTTCAGTTGAGAGGAACACTTACCCACACTTAAAATTTTTCCCATCCCTTAATTCAGCTCATTATTCTTATGTTTCATTATAATAGATGCTATATATATACACACACACACATATATACACACACACATATACACACACACACACACATATATTCATGTGTTCCTCACAGCTCTATAAAGCTATAAAGTAATTTACTTTATTAGCTCCATTTTATAAATGTAGAAACTGAGGCATAGAGAGATAACCACTTTGCTAAAATCCAGACAGAAATAAATACTGGAGTTTCTTCTCTCTTATTACATGTTAAAGTACAGCTTGAACTTAAATACTTACCTGTTCCCAGAAACAGGACATGGTATCTACCATCAGCAGCGTTCACTCGATCCACAGCTATCTTTGTATATTTGTAGTCAGTGCCTATACGGACAATCAAAGGCCTTCTGTGGATTGGGTAGATGGAATTGTACATGAGAGGATGGTTCCGAATAAAAGTGACAACATCATCTGGGAACTCCTTGGTGGTTCGCATATTGGGTGTAAATGCTCCTCCTGGACACTAAAAAGTATTTTAAGAACAAAGTTAATAAAACAGTTATTTTGTTTTGGTAAAAATCAAAAGGTCTCTA